TCTTGGCAAAGATACTAGAGTGGTTTGCCATTTCTTTTTCCAGCTCATCTTAGAGATGAGGAACTGAGGCAAACAAGGTGCAGTGACTTGCCCAGGATCACAAAGTTAGTAAGTGTCTGAGACTGGATTTGAATTCACCAAGATGAGTTTTCCTAACTCCAAGCCCAGAGCCCTATCCACTGAGCCACCTAGTTGCCCCAAGAAGAATATTTTTTTGCATCACTCTTTTCTTTCACAGCACACATACCAGACAGTAATAACGGCACTCATTCCCAGGGTTGTTGGGAGGATCGAATGAGATAATACTTGTGAAGTACTTAGTGTGGTGCTTGGCACTTGACACGCACTATGTAAATGCTGATTCTGAGCGCTTCCCCTTTTGGAGTAGGGAGAGACTTGAGTCAGAAAGACCAATTAGGAGAGTGTTGAAGTAGTCTGCGGGGGAGGTACTGAGGGCCTGATTTGAGGTGATAGCTGTGTGAGTGGAAAGAAGGGGTTAGATGTAAGAGATGTTGTAAAGGTAGAAATGTCACCATTTGACAACTGACAGATATGTGGGGTAAGGAAGAGTGAGAGCTTGAGTATAATGCCTCAGTTATAAACCTGGTAGACCAGAAGAATGGTCCCTTGACAAAAATTGGGAAATTTTGGTGGAAGGATAGATTGGGAGAGGAAGAGAAAATGAGTTTTGTTTTAAATATGTCTGAGTTTGAGGTCCCAGTTTAATATGTCTGATAGGCAATTGATGGTATGGGTTTGGAGCTTAAGAGAAAGTGGGACTGAATAGAGAGATCTGTGAATCATGTGCATAGAGATAGGAATTAAGCCCATAGGAGCTAAGGAAGTAACCCAGAGAGAATATTTAGAGAGAAGAGAACTCATTACAAAGCCTTGGGGTACACCTATAGTTAGGAGAAATGCACGTGAGAGTGGCTTTAGTGACAGCATCCTCATAGTTCAAGTTCAGTGTTAGAATGAAATGAGGCATTCTCAAGTTACTGACCACTTAATGTAGGTGGTTGACTTTGCCTAACCCAGCAATAACATTCAACAAGGACAAGCTAAGTGGCAGTTAGCTTCTCTGAATGTAGCCCCTCTCATCTCCATCTGTAAATTCATCTGGTCAGTGAGTCATCAGGATGTGGCACAGGTAGGTGGCACAGTGGATAGAGTGCTGGGCCTGGAGTCAGGAAGAAGTGAGTTCAAATCCAGCCTTAGACATTTACTAGCAGTGTGACCCTGAGCAAGACATTTAACCTCTGTTTGCCTCAGATTCCTCAAATGTAAAATAGGGATAATAACGGCACCTACCACATAGAGTTATTGTGAAGATCAAATGAAATAATATTTGTAAAAAGCACTTAGCCCAGTGCCTGGCACAAAGTAGGTGTTATATAAATACTTATTTCCTCTCCCCCTCCCACCATATCAGTGATAGACATGATGACATAGCAAACCACATTGAGGAAAACCAGAAAATCTCCAGAAGGAGAGGGACTAGTCAGAAGTATCAGTTACTGTAGTAGGGTCAAGGTTGTGGACTGAGTGATCAGGCATACTTACAACTGAATTGAGATTCCAGTGGATTGGGAAAGGAGTGTATCTCTGATTATGAAACAGAGAACTCCAAAAGTGGCCTAAATGTTCCTGGGTATTTATGCTAAAAAAACGCATGTGTGATCAGTCAGGTAACCTTAGTATAATGTAAATATTGCTGTATAAAAATGAAAATGGTCTCAATTCAGTTTAATCAGCAAGCATTTATTAAGCATCTGTCATGTATCAGAGCTAGGTGCTGGGGATAAAAATAGAATGGGGGAAAAAACTGATCTTGTCTCTCAAGGAGCTTACATTCTAATGGAAGACACAAGAACTAGTTTAGTAATTTTAAGCTATTAGTTATTTAAGTTTAAAGCTTTAAACTATAGTAAAGTTGATGGGACAGCCATATATTACACACACACACACACACACACACACACACACACACACACAGATACGCACACACACAAAATATAAAGAAAATAAATAGAAAGAATATAAAATATTTTAACTACATAACATTTTAGAAGGAAGGGCATTAGTAGGTGGGGTCATCAGGAAAGACTTCATTTGGAAAGTGGCACATGAACTGTGTCTTTTAGGAAGAGAGGAATTTTTTTTGAGGTGTCTGTGAGGAGTCAGTGCAGTGCAAGTACTGAAGACAGGGAAGGGAGGATGAGATGTTGAGTGTGAAGACCACAGAAGGCCAGTTTGATGGGATCACAGAGTGTGGGAAGGAAAGTAATGCCTGATGAGGTTGGAAAGATAGGTTGGGGCCAAGTTATAAAGAGCTTTAATAACAGAGGAGTTTACAGTTTATTGTGGAGATAATAGGAGAGTAACATAGTCATGTCTGTACTTAAGGAAAATCATTTTCACAGTAGTGTGAAGGAGATTGTTGTTTGTCCTTCATTCTCAAAGAGGACCATGACATGTAAGTGAATTGGATTTAAGTGAGGGAGGAATGTGTAGCCACCCTTCAGAGCCGTCTGGGTCCAGTGGCCAGATGTAGATCAAGATGACTGGAGATGGCCCTGGATGCAGTGGGAGACTTTGGCTTTTTTAAGCCAGTTCTTTAACAGGTCTCAGTTTGACTGAGTCAACTCCCGTTTAGTGTTAAGGCTAGGTAAAAAATGAGGCAGAGAATGGCCTCTTTTACCTAGCCAAAAAGAAAAAAAAATCAGTCTGGGAGGGGAAGACCTTAGGGTTTCTGGTCAAAACAGAAACAATTGCTATTTACACTCACTCTAAGCCATCGGAACCCAAACAATGACCAAGTGAGGCTTGGGCTGGGACCTGTTGTTGGCCAATTAAAGAGAGCCTGAGTGATTTCGGTTTAGGCATGGTCTTTGGAAAAGAAATCTAGCTTGTAAACCCCAAGGTATCTTATGAAGTTTCAGCTATCAAAATTTATATTCCTTTGGGCAGAGTACCTGCAGATAAAGTTATAATTCCCTATGTGGACAGAGGTAGAGGAGGGAGAAGGGAGAGAGGAGGGAGGGAAGGAAAGAAGGAAGAAAGGAAGCAAGGAAGAGAGCCAGAGTTATTTGGCGCTACAGAGGAATGTCAGGAAGTTGGACACGTGTAGATGATACTGAGATCCAGTGTGTGACATCCTCATGTGTAGCTGAGGTAGAAACAGGAATAGATTGTAGAATTTAAGGAAACTGAGGAGTCTAGAGTCGAGAGAGTTTGAGGAATCAATATGAGTCAGGTGCTGAACTCCTTGATTCAGTACATATTTATTATGTACCTGTTATGTGCTCCAACAGTGAGGAGCCAAGTATTTGGATTCATTCAACTTGGGGAAAACCATGTTTAAGTATATATAAAATACATAGAGTCAATAAAAAGGATTTTTTTAGGGAAGAGGGAACCCTAACACTTGAGGGATAACAAAAAGCTTCTTGAAAGTGGTAGCTGAAATGTACTTTGAAAGAATTGTGGGGTTTTTTGAGGCAAAGGTTAGGAGGGAGGAAATTCCAGGAATAAGGGAAAGCCTATACAAAGGAGTGAAGGAGGTAGATGGACTGTCATGTATAGAAACAACAAGTAGGGCAGTTTGGGTGAAACAGAATTTATAAGGAATAACATAGAGTTTATCAGGTCAGTCTAGGAAGAGGTTAGAGCCAGATTGTGAACTGCTTTAAATGCTGGGCAGAGGATTTTGTATTTTATCCTAGGAACAGTAGGAAGCATCTTAAGCAGGCGAGTGGCAGTCAGTGTGCTTTGGGAATGATGAAAGGTAATCTGGCATCTGTGTGGAAGATGGACTAAAGGGACATGAGACTTAGAGACAGGCAGGGATGTGGTCCAGGTGAGGTGATGAGGGCCCTGACATAGGGTAGTAGCTACATAAATAGAACTAGTGGAAAGGTACTAAAGATGTGGAGGTACAGTCTACCAGACTTTATAACTGATTGGGTATGAAAGGTATAAAGAGAAGAAAGAATGGAGCATGGCTTAGATAAGGTTTTCAATCTGGGTGACTAGAAGCTTGGTAATACCTTTAACACAAATTGGGAGCCATAAAAAGAAGTAGATTTTTTTTTTCTTTGCAGGGGCGGGGATGAGCTCTGTTTTAGTCATGTTGAGCTTCAGATACTTGGTAGGTACATAGTGCAAAATTGGAGCTCAGAAGAAAAAGGAGTAATCTGTGTAGAATTGAACTAATGAAAATTTAAGACATCGTAAAGGAATACAGAGAGAAGGCAGCCCAGACAAATCTCTGAGTTACATCTACATGTAAGAGATGACAAATTCAGCAAAGGAAACTGAAGGAATGTGGTCAGATGAGTTAGATGAAGAACCAGGAACACTTAATGTCAGCAAAATCCAGAGAGTGTAGAGCAGAGATGTTGGACATGTGGTATGTGGCCCACAATATTTGCAAATGGGCCCAACTAGATTAAAATATAATTGAAAAAATACTTAACAAAATAAAAATAAAATAAAACATAGATGGTGCTATATTTTAAAATGTCATTGTGTGGCCATTGGAATCCCTGCCTATGATGTAGTGATCTATTTGAGTTTGACATCACTCATATATAGTGTCTAGGAAGAGGGAATGATCAAATCAGAAGATATAAAGAGATCTAGAGAGATGAAGACTGAGAAAAACCTTTTGTATTTAGCATTTAGGAGGTCATTGGTAACCTTGGAGAAAGAGAATTTTAGTGTCTGAAGCTGATTGCAAGAGGTTGATACCCAAGTAACATTAAACTATTAATTAGTTTACATATTCCTTGATAACCTATGTTTGAAAGTATTATATAGTTATCTTTAATATTCTCTTTTCTTTATATGTGAAATTGTGTCCTTTATGTTTCTTTGTTGGCTTTTTAAGAATGGAAATTCCTCATGGATTGTTACTAGATTGACATTTTTCAGTATAGGTAGGGTGCTTAATATTGGTTATAATTATGACTTACTGTGTGTGTTTTTTTTTCTCCCAGTTTAGGCTTGATTTCCGATTCTTTTCACATGTTCTTCGACAGCACTGCTATCTTGGCTGGACTGGCAGCTTCTGTAATTTCAAAATGGAGAGATAATGATGCTTTTTCCTATGGGTAAGAGACATTTATTTCACAAAATCTAGATGATATGTTAGGTGAAAACATAAACACGTAGCAAACATTAACCTTGCATATTTAAACTAGTAAAAAATAAACTTTTTCTTTAAAATGTAAAGAAGTTTTTATGACAGTGGTGAAGCAGATAGAACCTTGGATTTGTATTCAGGGTTTAAATCGACCTCATTTTCTCTTTCAAGCCTCTGCTTCTCCATCACATTTACTAAAATGTGGATTAAAATACTTGTACAACCTACCTTACAGTGTGATTGTCATTAGACCCTTTGCAAAATTTAAATCACATGAAGAAAAGTGAGTTTCTGTTTTCTCGTTTGTGGCATGACAAGGGTCAGCTAGGTGGTACAGTGGATAGGGTGTTAGCCCTGGAGTCGGGAGGACCTGAGTTCAAATGTGGCGTCAGACACTTAATAGCTGTGTGACCCTGGGCAAGTCACTTCACCCTGTTTGCCTCAGTTCCTCATCTGCAAAATGAGCTGGAGAAGGAAATGGAAAGCCACTCTATTATCTTTGCCAAGAAAAACTCTAAATGGGGTCACAACTGAAACAACTCAACATGCATGATGATAATGTATTTAGAGTCATTGTATTATAGAATAGATGGAGACTTATGTTCCTGATTTATATATTCTTCTGTATTTTGTGGCCATGATTATATGCAGGCTGTTGGAATGTTTTTTAAAAAGATGAACTTGATTGTTTTGCGTTGTCCAAGGCACTGTACTAAGTGATCTGGTCTCCGTCCTGAACTGTATTCTTTGAGACCAATAGTAACTCTCATTTATGTAATACATTAGAGTTTACAAAATGCTTTTTAACTTTCCTGTGATTTGTTCTTTGTAATTCATTCATTTATTCCACAACATATTCTTTTACGCTATTGTGGATGGTGGAGTTACTGTGTATTTCTGTCAGTGTGTTGACATATGTCATGGCTATAGTTCAGGTCTCTCCTAATATTCAATTTTGCGAACATAAAGGATGAAATAAAAAGCAAATTGTTCATATTATTGTAACTAGCACATATGATAAAACCCTTTTTTTGAGCCTTAGATACCACAAGATCATAAAATGCCTTCTAAATTATTAATAATTATTAAATTTTGTTCAATATAGTTTTAATGCTGTGCATTTTTCCTATTTGAAAATCAGCAATCTATGTATTGTATGTTTGATGCTTGTTAAGCAAAATATACATTTAACCAAGAAACCCAGTCTCCAGTTCTCCTGCATAAAAGAGGTTTACGATTCTAACATTTTGGAAAACAACTATAAAGTTTTTCAACATTTTCATTTGTAAATTAAATTGTTAGTTCATCAAGTGTTTGTCCTGGCATATATATATATATATATTTTTTTTTTCCATATAAATAAATCACCTTTTGTTTGTAGAATCATAATTGCTTTCCCTTTGAATCCATGGTCAATGCATGATATTTTCTCTGGTAGTATTGGACAAGATTAGTCAGTAGGGCAATTTATAATTGTTGATGTTGGCCGACATTTTATATTTGAAATGGGTTTATGTGCCATGTTCATTTATGCAGGGGTTGCCTTAGTGTAATGACTGCAGTTGTATTTGGGGGGTGCGATAAAGTTGGTATAAAGAGAGTGACCATAATAACCGGGGCAGATAATGACTTGAGTTGAATCTGTGGTAAACATCACCTGGATTGTTACTGGATAGGCTGATTCTTTTACCATCTCCATCTTTTTTTCTTTCTCTCTCAGGAAAGGGAATAAAAGGGGGAGACTTCTTGTATAACATTCAAGGACTACTCACGGTAGCCAACGTAACTGTTATTGGCCATAGGAACATTTTTAGATTTTGGCCCCTGTGACAGCAGAGCTGGGCCCCATGGTCAGGCGTTAAGCCTGTGGATAAATTCCACAGTGCTTGGAGGTAGAGAGATTTTGCATAGAATAGCAGGCTAGAGCTGAAATAAAGGAAGGAAAGAAGCAGTGAGCAAATTCAATATTTGCTTTTTTTAATAGTCATCCTTTTTACACCATTATCTTTTAACTTCTGAGATTGAATAAAAAGTATATGTGATAAGCAGTAGAATCATAGACTCTTAAGAGTTGGAGGGCCCTTCAGAAGTCACCTAGTCTAACCTCTACCTAAATAAGAATTTATTCTACAGTATTCCTGGCAATCCAGCCTTTCCTTGAAGGCCTTTGCTGAGGGGTAAGGAGGCAGCCCATTTCAGCACTCACTAGCTTTAAGTTTTTCTTTATATCATTATTAAATTTGCCTCTTTGCAGATTCCATAATACTTTTGTTTGTCTGTGCTCTGGGGTCAAACAAGAGAAACCAAATCCTTCTTTTGCATGATAACCTTTCAGGTACTTTGAAGACAGCTACCATGTCTCTCCTAATAGGGCTTTTAACACACTCAGTTCTTTCTACAGTCTCATAAGGCGTATACTTGAGGCCCTTCACCATCCTTATTATCATTTTCTGGATACTCTCTGGAGTATCTGATCAATGCCTTTCCCAAAAGATGGTACTCAGAACTGAACCCAGTACTCCCAAGGTAGTTCGACCAGGGCAGCGTATAGAGGTGCTTACATCTTATTTCTGCCTTTCTTAATGGATCCAAAGAGCACGGTGACTTGTTTTGAGCAACTATTTCATAGTATTAATGCTTATTGACTTTCAGTCCACCAAAGCCCCCAACTCTTACTGTTATCTTGCCATTCAAACTCCTCTATTGCATCTTTAGGAAGTTGACCTTTTTTTTTTTTACCCAGGTTTTAAGACTTTAAATTTTTTCTTAATAAATATAATCTTTTTAGATTGATTCGTCATTAGTTTATCAAGGTCTTTTTGGATCTTGAATCTGTTGTCTTAACACATTAGCTGTCCCTTGTGATCTACAAAAGGAGAAACTTAGCTATCTATCATTCAGAGTATAATTGTGGTGTATCTATGTACACATAGATGTGGTTTTTTGTATTATTATTGCAAAGCTTGAAAACCAATAAGGATCTTCTGAAAGAAAAGCCATAGTAGATACATGAATTATACTTTTTGATCTCTTATAAGTAAGAGTTTTAGTAAATACAAATACATCTTATTTTTCATAAATTTTGTAGTTCATACATACCAGGGAGTCAGGGGTATGCAAATATACCCTTATATACTAACCAGCAAGGCTAATCAAAGCAAATCTAATTAAACTAACAGTTAGCTATGGGAACAGAAAAGTATATTCATGTAGTCACTAGGCTTTCTTTCCTTGAAATCCAGTGGGTTCTGTAACAGAGCAGCTTGGGCTCCTTTGTTTTGTATTGTCATTTTATCTCTTCCAAATGCATTTATTGGTTATATTTGAAACATAAAGCTTGTAAATAATACTAGATGTTGGTGTCTTATATTGCTATGGACATACACTTTATTTCTTTCTGTAGACCTAAAGGACATGCTAGAACACACTTCATATTGGGACAAGACCAAGTATAACTAAGTGATCTAAAATTGAAATATTATGCTGTAGTTGTAACGTTTTGCCTTTTACTTCAAAAAGTTCTACAAGCCAGCAATTTTTATGTCTCCTAATACAGTTTTGTAAGTAGGTTGATTAACTTAAGAGTCAGCGGCTTTGAAAATGTATGAAAGCTAAATTAAAATTGTATCTAGTGACTCTAGCCAAGCAGAATAAACATAAAAAGAAAAATAAGATCTTTTCCTCCCCCTCATACTTTATTCTTTTAGGAATCTAAAAGTTTCAGAAATGTAGGGAGAAATCACTAGTATTTAGCAAATAGAGTTCCAATTGAAAGCTAGAATTGGCATTAAAAAAAATGGAGATTTTGAAAAATCTTTGTTAGGCTCTCTGACAGTAGTGATAGAAATACAAATGTCAGGTTGCTTTTGTAATAATCCTTGAAGCTAAATCAATTCTTTTTCTTTAGCCCAAAGTTAGTTTCTGTAACTTAAGTGTAGAAAGGCAGAAACTGTAAGCAGTTCTTTAAAAAAATGAAAAGGTATAATTTACTGAAGTCTTTCGTCCTTGCCTTTTTTTCCCCACCCTTGCTTTTGTCCATCTGACCCATTGTCTGACTCTAAATTTCTCTCTCTAATTTAGTGATTCTGAAGCAGTTTTAGATTTGCATGTCTGTCTAAGGGTTTTCCAAGTTGATTTTCTCTAATAAGCATTTCCCAGTTATTCCTTAGTAATCTGTGTTTGGTATGGTATTTAACTGTTAATTATAGCTTGTCTTTAATCAGAATTAACATCATTCCCATGCCCTCCTCCGTCTCATTCCTCCATTCACACCATTTGTATTTATAGATTCCTGGAACATTTTTGGAAGTTTGAACTATGCAGTATAGATTTAAACCTTTGAAAAAATGTGAATTTATTATATGCCTTTGCAGTTAATAATTTAATTGTTTGGTCATTCCCCAGGTATGTTAGAGCGGAAGTTCTGGCTGGTTTTGTAAATGGCCTATTTTTGATCTTCACTGCCTTTTTTATTTTCTCTGAAGGTGTTGAGGTACAGTATAATAGAATTCAGTAAATCTTTTTTTTTCTGAAGTATGACTTTTCATTTCTAGGCATATTGTATTAGAGCTATTTTTCATTCTTTCAGTAATGCTGCAAGCATTAATTGAAGTATTCTCACTGATACTGATATATTAAATGAAACAGAAGATCTGTTAGCAGGAGAAGAAAGACACTAACTCTGCATTTGGGGAGTTTATAATCTACCTTCTCTAGTGAAATAGGCTATTATTTGAAACAACTTGAAAACAGACCAAAACAATTCATAATAATGCAATATGAACTGTGTGCAAAGTGTTAAGAATATACAAAGTTAACGATCCAGTTAGTGTGGTGTTAATCAGGAAATACTTCATAGACGAAGATCAATCCTGATCTAGGTTGCACAAAGGACATAATAGACATAGAGAAAAATAATGTATCAGGAAACCAAAAAAAGAGCAATGTTAAGCAAGCTGTAGGATTCATGCAAATAGACATTTTATGGAGATATTATTATTATCATCACTATTATTACTTATAATAATGAAGTTCATCACCAGATTGCCTATGGATAAAGACCCTCTTTGAGAAATTCTTGAAGACCATCTACATCTAGAAGGGTCTAGGAAAGTGCTACCCAAATAAAGTCACAGGTCCTTGTATTATTTAAGTAGTATAATTACTATGTTTTATGGTTCGTGATCTTAACATTTCATGATGCAATGGAAAGAGCACAGAATTTGGAATCAGAGGGGTAGGGCTGAAATCCAGCCTCTAACATTTACTTCCTGTGCCACTTAACTACCTGTGTCTTACCTTGAGCAAGTCACCTAAACTCAGGGCCTCAGTTTCCTTATCTGTAAAATGAAGAGGTTGGACTAGATCACCTCCAAGGTCCCATCCAACTTTAAATATATGATTCTTTGATTTACTGTCTTCTGTCCTGTGATGGCTTACTAATTCACCAAGCAGTTTTAAGTGCCTACTATGTGTGAGACAGTTATGTTATTGGAATTTGGCTTTTTCTTTTGAAAATAAGAGCCACTGAATGCTGTTATTTTAACCTTAATGATTTTTTGCTTTGTCTTTTAATTTTTTTTTATCATTTTATCTAATCAGGTTTTTGATTTTAATGTTGTCTCTTATGTGTTATGTGTTTTCTAGAGAGCATTAGCACCTCCAGATGTTCACCACGAGAGACTACTACTTGTTTCTGTGCTTGGGTTTGTTGTAAACCTAATAGGAATATTTGCTTTCCAACATGGAGGTCATGGACATTCACATGGCTCTGGTATGATGGTTAGAGCCTTTTTTTTTCTTTTTTCTTCATTTCTAGGCTGCTTGTGAAAAATGAATAATTTTGACAAGTTATGTAATGGTTTTTATACAAAGCTAAATATTGGTCAAGACCAAATATTGGACATAGAATCATGGACCTCAGAGGTCAGCTAGTCCAACCCGTATCTAAATAAGAATCCTTGTTACATATTCCCTCATTTTTTCTCCAGCTACCTTAGAGGACAGCCTATTCTGCCATTCAGCCTATTGATTATAACTTGTTAAGAAGGTTTTGTTACTTCTATGGAAATTTAATTTATTCAACTAAGATGTTGCATTTTTATGGCCATAGTTAGATTTATGGCCTTTTTACTGAAAGTCACATTCTACTATTGTGTAGGAAGAGTTTTGAATAGTTTTATCATAGAAAGGATTAGCTGAAATTTCTGGTTCAGTGGAATGTGATTTCAGGATCCAACTGTGATAGTACAGTGGAGTAACTAAAACAAAACCAGTATAGAGGATTAAGATCTGTCAGAAAGGTATTTTTAACAAGGTATTTCAATTTGACACTAAAAAAGGATATTAGATTTAACCAATGTTAATGTTGCAGTATAGTTTTGATAAATTTTCTCAAATTTACAGCATATGGTACAAGCCCTTTGCCTCAGTTTCCCCTTCTACAAAACTAGGAGTTGCATTAGTTCATTTGTAACTTCCCAGCTTCAAATCATATTCTCCAATCCCATTAAGTTAGGTTTTTTTCCAGAGTTGGATTGTTTATTCAAGTCACTTAAACTTTCTGAGCCTCAGTTTTCCCATTGCTAAAGCTGGGGTAATAATACCTGTAGTATCCCCTCTTAGAGTTGCTGTGAGGCTCATATAAGATAATACCTATACACTTTAAAGCACTATATAAGTATTAATCGCTGGGGTGGTTAGTGAAAGGGATCCCCCTCCCTGAACTCCTATGAGCAACATAATAAAGGTATTATTATCCCCATTTTACAGATGAAGGAACTGAGGCTCAGAGACTGAGTTGCCCAAGGCCACACAGCTACTAAATATCAGAGGCAGAATTTTAATTCAGGTCTTTCTGACTCCAAGTCCAGTCGTTTATCCACCATGTTGCCTTTTACTCTAAGACCCTTACTCTTTGGAGATTTAGGGGAAGGAAAGGGGGGTTTGACAAGCTATGCAGTGAGCTCACTGTGTCTAAAGGAATTGAGACCAAGGCAGTTGTATATAGTACGCAAGCAGGAATGTTCTGCCTCCCTTATTTTGCAGCAACAGCAATAGCATCTTCCAGCCTAGGCTCTTCCTTCATGTGCATGCTGGTGGGGAAGCTGTTTTTTGTTTTTGTTTTTTGCTTGTAACTGGAGAAAGTATTATGAACAACTGTTCATGGTAACTAAGAGGTCTTTATATGTCACATTTGGGGAGGAAAAAAACCTGTTCAATTTAGTAAAACAGTATATGTCTTATTCAGTTTCTTCTTTTGAAGGTCTATTCTGATACCTCAGTGTGGAGGTGCCCTGAGTACAATGGAAGTAGAGAAAAGCTTTGAGTCCAGGCCTGGTGTCTAGCTCGGTTCAGAGAGGCTCATTGCCAGACTGGTTTTAGAGTAAAGAATTTTGAGTTATACAAACTCTAGGACCACAAAGATAGAAGGGATCTTGGAGGCCATCTAGTCTAGACTAACTGGAAAAGACTTCCCTTTATAACGTACCTAACAAGTAATCATCTAGCCTTGGCTTACAACCCTCCAATGGCATGATATCTCTTCATATACTTGAAGATAGCTGTCAATTTAGTCAGTCATATTACCTGACTCTTTATGTAGTCTGACCAAGGCAGAATAAAACTGGACTGTCAGCCTCCATATTCCTGGGTGCTCTATCTCTTTGACTTAAGTTTAGTTAGCTTAAGGTTACATTTGATTTCTCAATGAGTGTATCCCACTCTTGATGCATATTAGCCTTTCAGTTCAATAAAACCCTTAGATAATTTTCAGACAAACTGCTGTTCAAGTAGGTCTCTTTTATTTTGTGCTTTGGAAATGCTTTTTTGAATCCAAATATAAAATTTTATATTATCCGTATTGAATTTATCTTAGTGGGTTTGGCCCAGTATTCTAGTCTTTTAAGAGCTTTTTCTAGGGGCAAGCTAGGTGGCACAATGGATAGAGCACTGGCCCTGAAGTCAGGAGGACCTGAGTTCAAATGTGACCTCAGACCAAACACTTAACACTTACTAGCTGTGTGACCGTGGGCAAATCACTTAACTCCAATTGCCTAAAAGTGAAAAAAAAAAGGAGCTTTTTTGAATACTGACTCTGTCTTACAGTGCTATGCTCCCAAGCTTTGTGTCATCTTACAAATTTGAAGAATATATCATCTCTGCCTTTTTCTAAGTCATTGATAAAAATGTTAAACAGCACTAATTCCATGGACCCTGCACTGGAGGTTTCTTTCTAAGTTGACATCAAGCCACTGTTGCCTACTCTTTGGGTCTAGCTATTCAATTAGTTTTGAATTTATTTAATTTTACTAGTGTGTAGCCTACATATTTTCATTTCCCCTCCCCCCATAATTACTTGAGAGCCTTTATCAAATGCTAAAACCTGGGTAAGCTGTAGTATCTGCTTGATTTATCAGTTTTGTATACCTGACAAGAAAGGATATAAGGTTTGTGCAGCATGCCCTGTTCTTAAGAAGCTGTACTTGCTACTTGTGATCACTGCTTCCTGATTTAAATGTTCACTTGCTATTCCTTTGCTAATATATTCTAGATTTTAGCTGGGAATAATTCAAGTTCATCACAGGTCTAAGTTTTCAATATTCAATAAATAGACACTAAATATGTCCCAGGGACTGTGCTAAGCACTGGGGTTACAATTAATAAAAAAGAAATCCTGCCTTCCAGGAGCTTAAGTCTAATGAGGGAAGACAGTACACAAAAGGAAGCTGAAAGGCCAGGGGTGGTGGGGAGCCTCATTGGGGATGTAATTTTATGATAATCTTGAGTACAAACCAAGTAGAACAACTGATGAGAAATGAAGTTATCTAGAAAAATCCAAGCCCTCTATAAAGGGTGGCTTTGGGAAGAGTTTATTGTTTAACACTCTATTCAGAGTAGAGGGGCCACTGAAATGGCTAAGGAGCTGATGAATATCGAAGCTCAAACAATCTTCATGATAATGAGATTTCAGATGATGAATTTTTGATGGAATGGTGATCTGTATTCACAGAGGGAGTACCTGTACTACAAAATTACAGATCCTCAGATTGTTGAAATATTAGTAAGTTAGTTACTCACTTGTAAATTAGGCATTTTCAGAAATATATTATCCACTAAATTATCCAAAAGTAGTTAATGCACTTCTGAAACTTCTTTACAGTAAAACTGGAGTTTATTTATATATAGCAGGATTTTGTACTATTAGGTACTTTCAGGTTACAAATCACTTTTAGCCTTGACCCCCCAAAATATTCTTCATTACCAGCATAAATTCATGACTGATAACAGTAAGAAATATAAATGGAAAGCAATAAGTTTGACTAGAATTCTAGTTTGACTAGAATACAGTATGACTTTGGGCAAGTAATCTGACCCTGTTATCTGTAAAATGGAGAGATTGTACTAGCTTATGTATAAGGTACCCTCTTGACCAAAATTTTGATTTTGCTTTATTTTTGGAAAAGTATAGATGTTAACCATTAAGAGTATGGTGTAACTGCTATAACATAAAACAGAAGCAAAATTAAAACAAGTGATGTGCTACATAATGAAAATATTTTTCCTAGTTTATTTTAAGTTCTCTTTAGTGAAACCAAGTCATTGCTTTTTTTCTGTAGGATTTGGACACAGTTGTCCTGGTAGTAGTCTTTAAGGAAGAATTGGACTTTGCTTTTCTATGTTTTGCTTTTGTTCTCAAGGTTATATTTTAGTTTTTGTTCCTAAGTTGCACTAGGGTCTTTGGTATAGTAAAGCAGTGTATATCACAAAATGATACCTTGCCTGTGAATAAACAACTTCAATGGGAAGAGTTATTATATACATATACATGTACACACTTAAGCACATATATACGTACATAAGTTCTGCCTAACATTTACTCATATTAAGATTATTATAACATATATGAAGGTATTGTAATATTTAGTCTTATATCTTGAGGTGCTGAGTTAGTTTCATTTGAATTTCTTGTTTTTAATGTGCTCTATGTTTAGGACTTTTTTTTTTGGTAATCTAATATAAGTATTACCAAATATATTCTATCAAGCAATGCTTTAATTAATGCAACCTCTTCAAATGAAGCTTTTACCAAGGGCCAAACTTTATATGTTTTTAATATGCTCTAGAAATGAAGCTACTATATGAATTCAGAATGTAACTGATTAGTGGTTTTGTTTTGTTTTTTATGGCAATTGGGGTTAAGTGACTTGCCTAGGGTCACACAGCTAGTAAGTGTCAGGTGTTTGGTCTGAGGCCAGATTTGAACTCAGGTCCTCCTAACTTTAGGGCCAGTGGTCTATTGACTGCGCCACCTGGTTGCCCTGTAACTGATTAGTTTTAGTGTGGTTGAATTTTAGTCAATTTATTACTTCAACCAGCATTTATTGTGGTTTTTATTAAAATTTTTAGTGATTTGTTTTTATATCACCTTTATTTATGAATAGATCCTCCCCTTTACTGCAACAACCCTAACAACAAAGGATAAGAAAGGAGGGGTGGGAAGGGCAATTCAACAAAGTTAAGCATCCTAGTATAAGGAGTACTTATTTGAGAGTTCTACACCCATACTCCTCTTCTTTTGAAAATGAGGGAGGGAAATGCATTGCCTCTTTTCCTCTTTGAGAATGAGCTTTTGATCATTATAATTGTATAGTGTTCATTTTTGCTTTATTGTTATTTCCATTTCCATTATTATAGTCATTGTGTATGTTGTTTCTCTGTTACTACTTATTTCACTTTGTTTCAGTCCATGTGAGCCTTTAATGTTTTTTTACATTCTTCATATTGATAATTTCTTATGGTGTATTATATTACATTGCATTTATGTACCATAGTTTGTTTAGCCATTCCTCAGTCTGGAGACACCTACTTTTTGTTTTCATTTCTTTGCTACCACAAGAAGTCCTTCTATGAGCATTTTGGCATTTTTGAAACCTATATGTCTTTTATCATGGGGAAAAGTTGCTAAAAACATTTTTCTGAGGATTGTTAGCATCTGAGTAGCTTGGTGCCCTTTATCCCTGCTGGTTTCTAGGAATTAAATTCCTTATTGTCTTAACATAGGTCAACTATACAAATACTAATTTTAATCCAGCCTTTGCCTAGACCATAGTGAATAAAATGCTGGACTTGGAGTCGGAAAGATCTTCGTTCATTTCCTGCCTCAGGCACTCACTAGCTCTCTGACCCTGGCCAAGTCACTTAACTTCTCTTCCCTCTGTCTCAGTTTCCTCATCTGTAAAATGAGGAGACAAGTCTGTTGGCTTCTAACATCCCTCACAGCTCTTAATCTATGATTCCCAAGATTTCCATATACATAATTTTATGTTTTCTGGAACATTTGCTATTACTTTATCTTCTAAAATATTATTATTAATTTTGAAAAATCATAATGCTCTTTTATCTAATAACTTGAAATGCATTCACATGTCACCTATATTGTTTCTGTTTCTGGCAATGAAATTTTTGGAGGGATGTGTCCTTGGGATGCATCAGAGGTATTAACATGTGGAATTTGTATTTTAATCCATTTTTATACATCCTTTATCTAAACTATATTATTTTTTTCCTCGTAGGGCATGGACATAGTCATTCCCTCTTTAATGGTGCACTTGATCATGGACATGGACATGGAGATCACGGCCATGGTCATGGAGGCCATGGCCATAGTCATGAATTGAAACGTGATGCACATAGTCATGATCATGGACATGGACATGGACACTTTGACTGTCATGGTGAGTACTATAGGAGGACATTCAGAGTGAGACTCTTAAGTACATGTAAAAGATAAGGATCATTTGTCCCTTCCATGTGGGCTGTCAGTTTTGTTCCTAGAATTCTCTGACCTGGACTCTACAAAGAAATAAGTGTAGCATAAAACACAGGACGTGGTCTGATTTTTCAAGCTGTAGGTAGTGATAAAATAGGGCTATTTCAATAAATGTGATAATTAATGGCAGTTGTGTTTTTAGCGAAATCATATTATGCATTTTTTCCATTGCCAGTATTTGACACAGATTTTTAAAAGCGCAATAGTGATTTCAAATCTTTAGAAGCATTTTTATTTTATTTGTATCATTAGGCTTTGGCCTAACTAGCTGATATACATTTATTTATAGATTTTGTAGTACATTTTGTTGAATGAACTATAACTTAATGCAACAACTTAGTTTGGCAAGGAGGTATTTGGGTAGTATAATATGTTTGGATTGGCCTCTAACATGTATGTGTGTGTGTGTGTGTGTGTGTGTGTGTGTGTGTGTGTGTGTGTGTGTAAAGTGAAAACAATTTGCTTTTTCTTGTTTTAGAAAGCATACCTTTACAGTATTAAAATATTTTTTAATTAAAAACTTGTTGGTTGCCATTAAATTTTCATTTTTTGATAGTACATTATACAAAATGTATTTTCAAGATCAGTTTAGAAATTTCAGTTGTTTTGGAGGATGCTTGAATCCTAAATAATTACTTTTAGCGGTTTTTTAAGAGGGAATCATAGGGACAGCTAGGTGGCACAGTGGATAAAAGCTCCAGCCTTGGAGTAAGGAGGACCTGAGTTCAAATCCGGCCTCAGACACTTGACACTTACTAGCTGTGTGACCCTGGGCATGTCACTTAACCCAATTGCCTCACCAAAAAACAAAAACAAAAAACAAAAAAAAAGTATGTTCTGTGTATACATTTCAAACTGATTTCAACCTCTTCCCCCATTATAATTTAGTTACTGCTGAAAAACAGATAAATGAAAGATGCTTGAGTTACTATCAGATTTATAGCTTCTACTTAAACTTTTCAGTTTCAGGATTTTTTTTTGAGGGAGGAGGGGAATCTTTATTTCTAGTAGCTGAAAAAAAACTAATACAATAATCAGTTCACTATTTTTTTCCACCAGTGCAGTTTACAGGACCTTCATGATTTAGCAGGTAGCTTTCTTTGGTCAAAAATATTGATGTGGTATCCAACCATCTGATGATTGATCCTTTCTGAATTTAACTAGGGTGGTCTTTAGATAAAAGTCACAGAGTTTGTTGCCGAGACTGTATTTCCTTAAAACACTCCAACTTGGTTGCATGAGTTTGTGGTCTGCTGATGTGGCCTTTAATATTTGAAGTCACTTCCTTGCCACGATGAGGTCCTGGAGTAGAATGTTCAGTGAGGGGATTTTTAAATCATTGTAATGAACAAAGTTACTTTGACAGCGGTTTTTACAGCTAACAATCAGTTGTGACTTTTTGGTAGTGTATTTTATCATTAGCAATCCCTTCTTCTCTTAATATGAAAAATGAACTTTTAGCTGATGTTGTTTTAATCTTTTGGATTTTGTTACACAGTATGTTCCAAAAAGTCTTGTGCAGTTTTAAGCTATTAAAGTAAATTTAAGCTAATTAAGCATAAAACTGCACTAAGACTTTTGGGCTATATTTGAAATTTTTAATAGTTTTGTATCTGCTGGATATACACATTTTTCAAAAAAACAACCTCCCCCCAAAAATCCTTTGTTGTATGCAGTAACTCTTTTTAAGTGACTTGCCCGGGGTCACACAGCTAGTGTTGTGTCTAAGGCCACATTGGAACTCAGGTTCTCCTGACTCCAGGGCCAGTGTTCTATCCACTGTGCCACCTAGCTATCCCTGCAGTAACTCTTGCTTTTTCTCCTTAGTGCCTTTTGGGACCATTGTATGGAGCCCCATTAAATTTTTTTTTTGGTCAGGTATTATTCTAGGCAACTCCAGCATTGTTAAAAGATCTTAAGACTCACATTTGGACAGAGATTGTGCAGGAAATGCACTAGTACTGTTGTCATGAACTGTCTTTACTAAATTTTAGAGGTTAATGCCCTTGGATAGCACTGGTTCAAGTTTGTTTCTAATTCTAAGGAAAGTGATATATGTCTATCCCTTTTAATGTAGATTTTAAATTTAAATAAAAAAATTGTTCAGTAAAGAACAGATCTCTTAGATTTTTTTCTTACACCATGGGAGAATTAGAAACTGATATCCCTTGTAAAGTTTATAGATTATGATTTTAAAAAAAAGTCAAGTTGTTTCAGAAAAAAAAAAAGCAGCCTCTGGAATAGCTCCCTACCAGCCTTAAAACCAGTACTTGGGAGACTGGGAATATTTTGGGGAGATCACTTTGAATATATGAAAGTTCAAATATTAAAACATGCTAATCCTTTTGAGCAAGGCAGAACTAATCTCTTGCCATCAAAGACTTAATTGATAGCTTGTTATTTGAGGGCTTGCCTCTAAGGGTACATTTTTGATTGCAGCAGCTCATTGAAGACTATCTTAATCATTTGGAAGGATTGTGTGCTTGCTGCATTAGGAAAAGTCATACCCACATTGATGAAAATACAGATCTTAACAAATATTGAAAAACATTTGGACGAGCTAACCAGAAGAATCATGATGCAGGGACTGCCTGTTAATTGGCAGAGGAGCTAAGCATGTTTTATGAACCATATTTGCAAGCTTTAGATCTGAACTTCACTTCTTTGTCTATAAAATGAGACAACTTGTACTATCTACCCCACAGGGTTATTGTGAGAGATAAGCTGTAAAAGGCTATGTAAATGTGAGTTGTCATTTTAACTGATCAAGAGCTAGTTTTAACAGCATCTTCGTTTGCAAGATCTGCTGTATAATCATGTGTGTCATCTTCTCCAGACCAGTGAGAAAGAAAATAGGTCTTACGAGGTGATAGTTCTTCTTTATAAACAACTGCGTCTTTGCTCTGATAGCATGTTCTTACCTCAGCCACCTTGGCAGTGGCATCAAGACACATCAGAGAACTACTGTTTGGACAACCTCAGGCCACCAACTATGAATCTCAAGCCAGTTTATTCATAAGTACAAGTACAGAGACTTTTAGCTCTAATTCTAAATTCAGCTTAGAGATATTGATGGTGACTGACAGCTGTAGTTCTGATTTAATTTTGAAGTTGTTGACCATTTCAAAATATTTTAGTTCAAGAATTGTATATGTTAGATCTTTATATCACAAATCCAATATGATAAAGTAAGTAGATACTATATATTTGGTCCCTTCTGGATGAAGATTGAAAGTGGGTTGGTTTCTTTATTCCACTCTAAATTGGAAGAAATTGCAAAGAATTTTTCTTTAGTTAATTATCCTAGCTTCTTCTTTGGACCATTCTTATCTTTCTTCATGATTTTAGGTAGCCATTTACCTTTCTATGATAGATCTAATTGTAAATAATGGTAGTATCCTCCCTCATAGAGATTTTTAAAAGATCAAAGAATTTTTGCAAAAAGTGACTTGTTATTTTGCCAAATGTCTTTGGAAAAAATTATTTTTAAAATATATGATGTATCTTTCATACAGTTTGAAATTGCCTTTGTGTTTGTTTCTAGACTAATCAAGATTATTATTTTTAGTCTAATTTTAGTAATGGAAATGTTAATTAATTTGCAAATCCACATAATTACGTGCAATTGTATAGATGCATTAGAATGAAAACTAGTTAGTTTTAGTTAGGAATCAGTTTAAATTAAAAAAAAAGAACATTCCATGTTAACTTGATAAAAACTCTTTACAGATGGTCCCTCAATTAAAGGAACAACAGGACCCAGCAGACAGATCTTACAAGGTAGGAGAAATTTGCACTTGCAGTTTTTCTGTTTTTCTCTTAAATTTTTTACATAGTCATTAGTAGTCTGGTGTTAACATTTCGTAGAAGAGTAACTGGAAATAGTTGTAAAATGAGGAGGTTGGACTCATCTACCTCAGAGGTCCTTCTCCTGACACCAAATGACCTCCTCCTTTACTAACTCTGAACCTTATTTTTATTGTACTTTATTCTTTCACTGTTCTCTTCTTAAAATTCTTGACTTGACTCTTACCTTAAACTATTCCCTTGGATTAGGATCCTTACACTACAGTTTATTTTTAGGAACTATAACATGTTTTGTGTCCATTGGTGCACTGTTGCAGAGGTATGCAGAATTAATATAGAGCTTTTGCTGAAATATCTTGTAATGATGCATATTTGTTACACACGATCAAATTTACTTTATATTTGCTAATAATTTATTTTTGTCTTGATAATTCATTATTTGAAGGGGGGCATGTTTCAACAATTTAACTAATAGATTATGGTTTTTCTAAATCTAGCATTGCAGTTGGTTTGTATTCTGTAGGTACACACTAATTGGTGGGTAGGCTGAGATGGTTCGGAAGTATGGAACAGTATTCTGGATTACAGGGGTAGTCTGTAGTTTGATTTATATAATCTAGAAAGGTGACAGTTTATATGTGTGAGTATGTATGTATGTATGTATCTATAATATATATATACAATATATATTTTTAATATATATATAAAACAAGAACTTAATTGCATTTAAATAAAAATATTTAAAGCATCTTAATATACTTGTTGACTTTCTAGTTTTTAAGGTAAATTTCATTAAATGAGGTTTGAAATTTTGTATATAAATCAAAATGTGATTTTTTTTCCTCTGTTTTTTCCACTTTCCTAAATGGAATTTGGAAACTTACAAAGGGTTGTATAATTCTGACATGTTGATAAAAATAGTGTTCAAGGCACTAACTAGCGTGGTCTATCCAGAGAAATTTCCCTATCTAAAGATTCTATTTTTTTTTCTAATGGTGGCTACCCGCTAGTTTCAATTCTTAAAATATCCACTAAAGATGTATAGTGGTCTAAGAATACAAATCAATTAAGAGTTTGTGGTTCAGGGGCCCCTAAACCACTGTGGTATGTTTTCTGTGGTTCTCTTCTTTCTCATTCAAAAGGTAATTTTAATCTGAACAGCGGTCCTTACCATATGTGTTTGACATCTTTAATTCCTTGCCATCTAAAGTAGATATGTTAGGGAAACACTAAACCGTTTTTCTTTAAATAAATTTTTTATCTCATATAGCCTTTATTCTGTAAGATTTTTTTTCTTTAGAGTAATTAAGTCAGATAGAAATACAGTTTTAATAAAAAAATCTTTATGGAAACCCAAAACAAGGTTTTCTAAGCCTTGACTGATGACCTACTGATTGTATTATGTATGTGTTTGGAATGAATTCTAATTTAGCACAAAAATTTATAGATCTGTATAGAATTCACTCTGCTTAGGTTCGTCTGAGTTTCTGTCTTTTTACTCAGGTAATTAAATCCTTATTTCTGTAATTAAAATAGATTGTAATTCTCATACAGTTTCTTCTGTTGAAGAGTTTTAAAAAAGGAACAAGTATTTGTAAAATGGATAAATACTGTTATTTTGTAGTGTTTTCTAAATTAGCCAATGAGGTGATTTGAAAAATTGGTGAAGAGTTGTATAATTGTATAAATCATCTATAAAGCCCAGATGAAGTATGTGCAGTAGGCATTATATTTACTGTGGTGGTAGATGGCATTATATTTACCATGTTTTTACCAATAATGTGATGAACTTATATATATCACATACAAATGTTAGATTATCTTTTGATGTTTATAGAGTAAAATAAAATCTCTTTTGTATTTAACTTATTGAAAATCTGATTGCTTTATTATTTTAAATTTAATTTAAAAGTAAGTTATTGTATAAATTGTGGTAGAACGATATCTGAAACAGTTCTTGGATTTGCTAAAGGTTTTGTAGTCATTTCATTTATTCAATGACAAATAGAAAGTTTAAATTTTTAAGTTTCTTAAAATAACTCGCTTGCTGTATCTTATAAATACAAAGTTTAAACTCCATGTTTTGGAGCTTGAGCTTAATGGATAACTTTATCTGTAAGAAACTCTGTAAGAAAATGTAACATATAGGACCCCCATTACAAGAAAAGGAAAATTATATGGCAAAAAATGTTAGTCATTAAGGTTTATAAATTAAATTACCAGCAGAGGGCTCTGTGTACCTATTTTTTCTGGCATCTGTTTTTATATATCTATATATCTATATCTATATCTATATATTTTTTTTTGCTTAAAACATATTGAATTTTTAAAAAGGAATTTTGTTACATAAATTTTAAACCCATAAGTGAATTTGTAGAAGATGTTTTTATAAGTTTATTGAAATACTTATATTGAAATAAGTCACAATATTCAGGCTTATCAGAATAACTTTGACTCATAAGTAACATAACTTCCTACTGGTTTGGTCAAGTAAAAGCAACTTTAGTAATGACTTACTTATTTTATTTTTTAAATAATTTATCTAGTAATGATTTATCTGCAGTTTTAAAATATTTTAAGTGGTTTGTTTAGCCTTTATTTTTCAGCTACAACAATTAAAAGTCTCCTGGAACACTCTGAAAGACACTCAGGGAAACAAATAGACATTATGTAGCCACTTGAGTACTTTAGAGGATTTAATTTTGATTAAAAATCCATTATTTTTGATACTTTTTAGTTTCTAAAATACTAATTTGATTCTGCTTATGCTTTATTATAGGTGTATTTTTACACATTTTAGCAGACACACTGGGGAGTGTTGGTGTAATTGCATCTGCCATCATGATGCAAAACTTTGGTCTAATGATAGCAGATCCTATTTGTTCAATCCTTATTGCCATACTTATAGTTGTAAGGTAAGTTTTCGTTCTATGTTCTCAAATATTAATATGAAAAATAGGCTTCTAACAGACACGTCAATCTTAGCTCTAAACTGTGAGCTATTGAGTTTGTTTTCGTTCAGTCTTTAGCCATTTTCTACATCAATTCTTTTTATTCTTTTGTTTGTCTGCTTTGTGCTAGTCTGTTTTTACCACTTCTTGTTGAGGGGAGGGGTATTATTTAATTCTTGTCTGATTTTTTTCTGTTAACTTAAATTTGTGGTCAAGGCATTTTATTTTATTCAGTAAGATATGTATATAGTAGACCATTACAAATAGGAGGTATGTGTGATACTAGCAAACAAACAAAATGTCTGAAATACATAAATGTCAGTCCTCAAATTGAAAACAGAAGGCATGGGTGTGTGCATATGATGAACCTCTTTGGCAATTTGGTAAAACCTAGGGACCCCTTCTTAAAATAAAGTTTTTAAAATGCATAAGATTACAAAAGAAACCAAATTTTAGTTAGTGAAAATAAGGACATAATTTTTTCTTAATCAAGTTCATGGACCTCTACAGTTGGACTCCAGGTTAAAAACCTCAGTCAGTATTAAATATTAAAAGTACCCATGTTATTAAAGATCATCCTTAAAACTACTGATTGCCCTATACTTTAATTATTTTTAAGTTTATATCTTCATGTATACTTGACTCATGCTGTTAAGGTATACTTACTTGACTTTAGATGGTTTTCTTTTGAAGAATTTGTTGCCTTGTGCCTTTTGTGGGATTATAATATTTGTATATGGTGTACAGTTACTTTTTATGTTCATTTCTCATTCAGATGTTATTCTCATTCATAACATTGTCATTGAAATATTCTTAGTAACAAGAGCAGAAGTTGCTTTTTAAAATGTATACATTTTGGGGCATCTAAGTGGTGCAGTGAATAGAGTACCAGCCCTGGAGTCAGGAAGACCTGAGTTCAAATTTGGCTTCAGATACTTACTATGTGTGTAACTCTAGGCAAGTAACTTAACTCTGATGGCCTCAAAAAAAAGTATATGTTTCTTTAAAATGAAGTATTACATGGCAGAATATAAGGGCTAAATGTATAAGTACATAATATTAGATTTCAAAAAGCAGATATTTTCTTGTCTTGCATTTATTTGGCAAGAGAAAAAAAATCAGTATTTGATTTTTTATTAAAGCATTGTTTTAATAAAACATTATTAAAACATTGATTATTTAAAAATTTGAATGAAAATATGCCCTTTCTATTTCATACTTTAATTAGTTTAAATTTTATGAAATAAAATATATTAGCTTTGAAATTAGAGAGTAGAACAAATGTAACAAATTTTCCATTTTTCATAAATAGGAATATATGTATGTGTGAGTGTATGTGTGTATACATATACATATGTATCTTGGGAATTTGGATAGATGGGAAAGAACCTTTTTAAATATATAAAAATTGTTCTTGTGAAGTGTATAGAAAAGTGTCATATGATTATTTACCTCTTAATTCTCTGTTTACTGTTGCTGAAATACATGTGGCATTGAGAAATTCCAATTTTGTTTCCCTTTATTTCTGAGTAAGGAGCTGCATTTGCCACTCTCCCTCTTTAGTGGGAAACCCCCCCAAAACTTTGCATTTATTATAGATTGAAATTTAGTTTAGATTTGATATAAATTGTATCTGTTTAAACCCAGATATAAATAACTGTGTCATGTCAGAAAGACTTGCTTTTAATGATTTAGAGTAGTCATATATTGCAAAAGAAGAAATTGAAGGTCATTTTGCTTAAATAATGTTTTCTTCATTAGATAATTTAATATGTATTCTGTAATGTCCTGCTGAGAAACTTTTAATCCAGCAAACATCTATTAAGTATCTACTATGTGCAGGGCATTGTACTAGGTGCTTAGGATACCAAAAAATGAAATAAAACAAAACAAAAAAACTCCATAGTTCCTGTCCTCAAGGAGCTTACATTCTGCTAGGGATGGGGAATAGAATGTGTAAATAGATAAATCTAGTAAAAGGCAGAATGTGCTAAGGGCACATGATGAACCTAGTCCAAATTGCCGCAGGTCTGTTTGAGCAAGGAGAGAACACTTTTATTTGAGGAATCAGGGATGACTTTCCTGAGCTGGTAGCACTTGAACTGAGCCCTGGAAAAAAAAAAGTATTCTGAAAAGTGGTGTGTACAGAGAAAGCATGCAAGACTGCTGGACTACAGCCAGAGGTGGGAGATGGCATAGTAAGTTTGCAGAATATAGCTAGTAATCCAGTGTGGCTGGAATGTAGGATACACAAAAAAGGATTAATATTAAATGATTGGAAACATTTTAATTTATTTAACATTTTTAATTAATATAAGGTATTTATTAAGTGGCTGCTGTGTATCAGACACTATGCCAGGCATTGGGGATATAAAGACAAAAAACAAAAAATGTTCTTCCAAGAGCTTCAGTCCTACTGGAGGAAAACAATACAATGTGTACAAAGAAATTAAATACAAAGTATGGACAGTGGAGATACAAAGTATGTCCTGGGAGAAGGGGATAGGGCTGGCTTTTTATAGAGATGGCAACTGAACTGAGTCTTGAAGGAAGCTGCTTTAGAAATGTCACTTTGGCAGCTTTGTGGAGAATGGATTGGAGAAAGCAGAGATTGGAAACAGGGAGACCAAGAAGGAGGCAGTTGTGGGGATTTTCCAGGTGAGAGATGATGGGGGGCCAGAACTAGGGTGGTGCCTGGGTTATCCCCCTGGCTACCTCTTTGCTAGTTTTGTCTAGTGTTCCCTTTGGAACTTTATTTTATTGCTAACGGTCATCCCCTTTATTTCTTTATAAGTGAACACATGCTTGGCTTTATTTTTTTTTCAATTCATCCTTGTTCTCTATCTTTATATTCCTTTAACCCCTAATTAACTAGAACTTGGTATCTCTGGTAACCCAAACTTGTAATGACCTCTTTTTATTCTGTTCCCTCAAATTCATAAGGTCAGGAAGAACAATCTCTGTTATTTCTTGTTCCATACTACTTCCACTTCAAAGCTTTTGCTACTGTCACTCAGCAGCATTTATTGTAAGTTATCCTACATGATTATGTAACTCTCAGCCAACCCTTCTTGTTATAGGATACTGTTCTAGCTTCTCATTAAGATGCAGTTTACTCTTCTTTCTATCCCATATCCTTCCAGTAATTCTGGAGAACTTTAGTAATGCTTTGACTAAACAGTTCTCTGAACTTCTCAGTTCTTAGGACTTCTAGTTAAACCTGTATCAATCAGTCAACCACCAAATGATCACACCTTAGATTTCACCATCACTTGAATTTGTTTAAATTCCAAGATATTGAATTCTGAAATTGTCCTCTTTGATAATAATCTGCAACCTTGCACATGTCCCATACCCTCACTTCTCCTAAACCTGCTCTTTGTCATTGTGATTTCTGGATTCATGATTCCTTCCCTCTTCACATAAGTTTGTTTCAAATAGTCAACTCTTTCAGTAATGCCAAGACCTTTTGATTTTCCCTACATAATCTCAAATCTGTCTTTTTTCCATCCCACTACCATTACTCACCCTAATTCAGACCTTTGGCACAAAGCCACTTTTACTTATCCATTTTCTTTCTTTCTTTCTTTCTTTCTTTCTTCTTCTTTCTTTCTTTCTTTCTTTCTTTCTTTCTTTCTTTCTTTCTTTCTTTCTTTCTTTCTTTCTTTCTTTCTTTCTTCCTTCCTTCCTTCCTTCCTTCCTTCCTTCCTTCCTTCCTTCCTGTTGGGGTTAAGTGACTTGCCCAGAGTCACACAGCTATTAAATGTTATATGTCTCATGTCGGATTTGAACTCAGGTCCTCCTGACCCCAGGGCCAGTGCTCTATCCACTACGCCACCTAGCTGTCCCCCCCTTATCCATTTTCTATACCACCATTAGAATAAATTTTCCTTATGCATAGATATATGTGTGTGTGTGTGTATGTATATAATGTCCTATCATATATCATTCCTCTGTTCCCAGAACTTGTGGCTATCCATTGTGTAACCTCTCAAAAAAAGTATCAAATCCTTAGCCCAGAATTCAAGGTCTTCCATGATTTTACTTCAGCCTGTATTTCTGGCTTTGCCTTACCCTATTCCCCTTCACATACTCCACATTATACCCACACTGGATTATACACAGTATCCAACCTCCTCCTCCTATCTCCCATCTCTGTTTTTTTGCTCATACTGCTTCCAGCACATGGCTTGGACTCCTGTCTCATTCCCTATTTCTGCCTTATTGAAATCTTACCTTTCCTTCAAGACCCAGCCCAAGTGCTACCTCTCTATGAACTTCCCAGATCCAGTAGCTAGGATGGATCTTTCTTAATTCATATTGCTTATGACACTTGGTTTAGACCTCCCCCTAGAATAAATTTGTAAGTTACTGAGAGGCCAATTTAGGAAGGAAAAGCTTATTTGTGGGCTGACTGGAGTAATGGACTCTCCCTCCCTTTGCTGCAAGCAAAGACTTGTTGGGCAGGTCATAGAAAAAATGATTGTATGTGTTGTTCTAGATGGCTTCTGATGTCCTTTCCAACTCTGAGATTTTGTAATTCAGATTATAGGTATTTGTGACATGCTTTATACGTCCTAATAAATTGCAGTTTATATAAGTTGTGTCTTTTTGGATGGGAGTTAATGCTTAATTCATCTTTATATCATGAACGCCAAACATACCATGCATGTAGTGGTCACTTAATAAATGTTGAATTATTTTTGTCAGTATTTTCATAGATGCTGAAAACCTGTTCTGCCTTGTCAAGATAGATTTTAGTGTTTTGGTGTTTATTTGGTTTTATTCTTTTTTTTAGGTAGTTGGTATGCCAAAAGTGTTAATTCAGAATTTGTTATGCCAGATGGGGAAGGTATTAAAGGCTTTTGTAGTTTTACAGCTCTTTTCCTTCTAAGGCTAATGCCTTTAATACAGACTTATGTATTGTTTTTGATGCATGCTAATAACAGGGACACCTATGTGAG